CTGTAGTAGTAGTAGTAGTAGTAGTAGTAGTAGTAGTAGTAGTAGTAGTAGTAGTAGTAGTAGTAGTAGTAGTAGTAGTAGTAGTAGTAGTAGTAGTAGTAGTAGTAGTAGTAGTAGTAGTAGTAGTAGTAGTAGTAGTAGTAGTAGTAGTAGTAGTAGTAGTAGTAGTACCTGATAGGGGTAGTAGTAGTAGTAGTAGTAGTAGTAGTAGTAGTACCTGGTAGTAGTAGTAGTAGTAGTAGTAGTAGTAGTAGTAGTAGTAGTAGTACCTGATAGGGGTAGTAGTAGTAGAAGGGTAACACAGTTACTGTGTACTGTTGAGACTCTGTGAATCTCGGTAGATCTTGGTAGAGCAGGTTCTGGTACGACATCATGAGGTCACCGTGGGGTCATCGCGGGGTCACCGGGGGTCACCGTGGGGTCACTGCGGGGTCACTCTGGGGTCAGGCTGAGGTCATCGCGGGGTCACTCTGGGGTCACAGGACACCACAGAGTTAATGACAACAATAAACAAACATCTGAATGATCTCAGTCTGTCTGATGTGACGGCAGCTCCAGGCCTTAAATCATCCACATGGTTTTAGTGAAGGTGTGTGGAGTTTAAAAACACAGTGGAGCACTTCCTGTATTAAATTCACCATAAAATGAACCACAGAAGATCAAACATGTGTCTGTGTCCTGTCGTCTGGAACAACACTTCAGCTGAGTTACTTTAGCTGCTCATTTTATTTTTAATCCGTTTGTTCTGTTCATTTTTAAATTACAGCCCAGTGTTTCTCAAAATGTTCACACCAAAAACAAACAAAGAAATGATTTGTCTTTCTGAATAATCCAGGTCTAATGTAGGACTGAACCAGGTCTAAAAGTGGACTACATCATTTCCACTGTAGTTCTAAATAAACCCACACACTGAAGCTCCGCCCCAGTCCCCCTGAAGGAGCTCGGACCACAGTTTGAGAAACACTCCTGTAGAGTCACAGTTTGATTTTCTCCAAACAAAAACACTCGTGTTTTCAGCACAAACGCTGAAGAGTCAAGGGACCAGGTCTAAACCAGGACTAAACCAGGACTAAACCAGGACTAAACCAGGACTAAACCAGGTTAAACAGGACTAAACCAGGACTGAACCAGGACTAAACCAGGACTAAAACCAGGACTAAACCAGGACTAAACCAGGTCTAAACCAGGACTAAACCAGGACTAAACCAGGTCTAAACCAGGACCAAAACCAGGACTAAACCAGGACTAAACCAGGACTAAACCAGGACTAAACAGGTCTAAACCAGGTCTAAACCAGGACTAAACCA